CTTTGTAGATCCTTTTGTCAGTGTCTGACATGAGGATGAGTCACGGCCATTGCTTGACTACAGATCTATATAAAGTGAAGGTCCTTCAACCCTGCAGACTCACTCTTGTTCTTAGAAGTGACCATTAAGTTTGATGTATAGTGTTTATATTTTCTATGAATTTATAAATACATATTCTTTTTAGCATAAATTTTATTTTACTGTGCAATTAATCAGTGTCCTTTTTTTCTTCAAGCTGCATATCATAGACATGTTTCCGATCCATGTGTCTTAATCATTCTTTTGTCACTGACACAGAACCCGACACCCACAAATTAAAGGAAAAGATCTGTATTTTAGTATAGGGCTATATAGTCCATGGCCAGCTGGCTCCAAGGCAAGGTAGAAGAGCCAGGGAGAGGCCACCTGCTCAAGTCATGGTGGCCAGGAAGCAGAAGAGAGAGGAGCTGGCAAGGGAGAAAGCTCTTCTGGGTCATGCCTGTGGAGACCTGTCTCTTCCCACCAGACCCCGCCTGCTAATGTCACATTCAGTTGTAGCTCTCCATGATACAGTCACCTTCCAGAGCCCTGCCTCTGAGCACAGGAAAGTTTTGGGAATCACTGATCTAAACGGTAATACAGTGCAAAGAGTTCTAACTTGCAATTGTTTTTTTTTTTTTTTTCTGTATTTTAGGAAACATCTACAGGGTGTTCAGGGTCTCACTGCTAGATCAGACTCCTAGTGATTCTCCTGTTTACAGCCTCCCAAGAGCTGGGATTACAAGTGCGCGCCACCATGCCCAGTCTCAGCGTGCCCCAAGGGCCAGTCCAGCATGGCAGGCCCAGGGATTGAGCCCCCGGCCCCTGTGCCTGCTTGCAGGTGCTTTAATTCACTGAGCTATTTGGCCAGCCCTTAACTTACAATTGTTGATGTCTTAAAGATATTTGAAATATACCATATTTGTGTAACTGTTTCTTCTTTACTTGAAATTTAGATTATTTTTAGTTCTACTATTGTAGAAAACAGATCAAACATGGGAAAAACTGCACCAAGGGAGATTAGGAGGCAGTTTATTACATTGGTGGGCTTCTGACTAGGATTTCTCCTAAAGAGTCAGAGCCCTGCCTGGTGGAATTTTCAGGGCTTTTGAAGGGAAAGTGAGCAGGAAAATATGTAGGTAAATTTGGTACATATGACTGGAAGGCTGTGTAGCCTCGGGGTGCTGAAGGTGTTTGAACATCTCAAGTTATATTGTAAGGCCATCAGTTACACAAAATGTGGGTTATATGGAAGAAGAAATGTCCTGTTACATTTTAAGTTATATTGCAAGGCCATCAATTAAATATGGGCAGTGGAGTCAGGGGTTACACAGAGGAAGAACTGTTCTGTTATCAGGCCTGCTGGACATGTCTGCTTGGTCTTGGTGGGCACTCTGGGCAGGCTTGTATTTAAAATACTGATTTTTCCCCTTCAATACTATTTATAGTGTCCATGTATTATGCAGTTTATTACAAACGTCAAATTCTTTGGTTGCCTTGTGTTCTTAAGACAGTGTGTCATGTGTTTAGCATCTCTTTAATGGAAATTATTTGATTAATTGTAGGGAAATTAATTTTATCACTGGATAAAGACACTTATGAAGAAACTGGACTTCAAGGTCGTCCATCTCAGTATTCTGGCAGGAAAATTATGAAATTTAGTAAGTACCATGTACCTTCATTAGTGTTTTCAATCCAGTAATGTTGGTGTAGCAGTTTAAATTTAAATGGTTGAATTACCTCTAATCTCTGTTCAGAAAAATAGGGCTCTTTTTTGTTTTTAAAACTTTTGACTCGAATTACTGGTTAGGCTTCAAAGAGAATCCGTCAGTTCTAGCTTTGTTTTTCTCTTTCCCTCAAGCAGCATTCTATAAAGATGAGTGGATTGGACATATGTTTAGATGCATGTGTTGGGTCAAAAATTTCAAGTAATGAATCCAACAGAACAGTCTTCAACATGTTCTTAATAGATAATTTCCTCAAATCTTTATGATTAGCAGTAGAAATTTGCTCATGAGTGAAGCAGTATAATTCTGGTGACTGTATCTGGTGTGGACATCAGTAGTCAAGACTTCTAGGTCCCAAAGCAGATTGGAATGGAACTCCTGAGGACTTGTGACCCTGGTCTTTTTTAAGAAATAAGTTTGTCTGGCTATCTGTCTGTGGTACTGGAGAGCATACCTAGGGGCTGTACCACTGAGTTATATCCCCAGCCCTTTTGATTTTTCATTTTGGGACCATCTAAGTTGTTGGGCCTGGCCTTGACCTTGGGATCCATCTGTGCCAACCTCTCATGTAGCTAGGGTTAAAGGCATGTGCTAGCACATCCCAGGTGTCCTTGGTCTTTGACCTAGAGAAGTATGAATCTGAAACATTTCTTAGTACTAGTTTTTAGTGCGAGAAATACCCCCGGAAGGAGTATTTCTGATCTGGTAAACAATAGAACAAGAACAAAATAATTCTTAGAATTTCCCAGATTTCTGACTTTAATGTAACACTTTCTCTACAGTGTAAGCTCTGTATATTTAATGAAATACATATTCCTTTTTCCATTTTTTTAAAGTTGTTCCCATTGATTTGGTGGATTTATCCCTTAACCTGGATTCCAAGAAGTATGAAAGAGTATCTTGGTGCTTGAAAGAAAAGAAGCCATTGAAATTTGATTTTCTTTTGGCTTGGCATCAGACAGGTATGAAGAATACATTGTATGTTAATCCGCTTATAGTTGCACACACTGATTCTTTTAAAAATGTATTTTTGGCCAATTTCACGATTATAATGAGTGAAATCGTTAAAAAGTATGATGATGTTCTAGTCTCCTTTGGGGGCAGGGAAATGTGTAGGTCTGTGTCTTGGTCCCTGTTGCATTGCTGGGTACAATGTCCAACACTCACGACTGAAAGGAGGAGAAGTCTATTTTGTCTCATATTTTCAGGCCCCATTTGGCCAACCCCAAGGCAAAACTGGCGTGGCAGAAGAACCAAAAGGCTGCTCACACAGTGGTGGCCAGGATGCAGAGAGAGAAGGGAAGAGTCAGGGAAGGAGATGCACCTACCCTGTCAGGCCGCCTGTGACTAGCCCGTAACTACACTCCTCCTCCTAAGAGGACACTCAGCTACTGAGCTCTAGTGAATGGTCTTTAGTGGCCACATGGTCCAGTCATCTAGCAAAGGCCCCACCTCGGAACATGAGGTCTGGGGAGACATTCTGGACCTAACGCATAGCAGGCTGTTTTTGGAAATACACCTGCTGTCTGACTCCTGGAGGTCCAGGTTACTTCCATGTGTCTAACTTCTGTAATCCTTTGGTGCCTCTCCTGCCTATGGTAGGTGCAAGAGATGGTAAAGAGATTTACTTGAGTTTCAGTCATATGAAGCCTTAAATGAGGATGTCTATGCAGTGGGTTCTGAATAGCCTTCTCTTCCTGAGCCTCCTAATTATTATTTTTAGTAATTTTCAGAAATTGTAAAAAGTCTCAAATGCTGGTAGAACACATGGAACTTCTGGGGCAGAAACAAAGGACATAATTCCTCACAGAAATAGCAAGCAGAGTGTTAGCATTCTCCAGAGAGACAGAACTGATAGGAGATGGCTGGCTGGCTGGGGACTCAGGAGGGCATTAGGTGAACTGGCTTGTGCAGCTGTGGAAGCTGTGAAGCCCATGGTAAGCCATCTGCAAGCAGGGGAACAGGGATGTCAGTCGCTGTCTGAGCCTCAGAACCAGCAAGCTAATGGCCCAAGGCCAAAGCCTGAGAACCAGAGGGCCAGTGTGCAAATCGTAGTCCCAAGGCCAGAGAACCTGGAATTTTGACATCCATGAGCAAGAGAAGCTGGCTGTCCCAGCTCGATGGTGTAAATTAGTCTTTCCTCTGCCTTTCTCTTCTGTCCAGGCCCACAGCCAGTTGGATGGTGCCCTGCTGCCTTGAGAGTGGATCTTCCCTCCTTGGCAGGAAAGACCTGTATGCCAGTTTTCTCTGCGAATTTCCTCATAAAGGCCCTTGAAATAATGCTTTACCACCTCTATGGTTAGCCCTTAATCCGATCGTGTTAATATCTAAAATTAGCCACCACATAGAGAATCAGCATTTGCCCCAGCTCACCACATTGCCATACCCAGAGAGTGACACCAAGTGGGTTCCATCATAGGCGAGGACCGGGGCCTTGGGAACCCAGACCTTCTATCATGGGCAGTAAGCTCGTTGCCCAACTTGTCAAGGAGGGAAGGATTGTTGTTAGCACTGAACAGTGAGCAAGCCTGCCCTCTGCTCTGGCGGGACCGTTTCTGCCTTCCAAGGCCTGCAGCTACGCAGGCATCTCAGAGAAGACTTGATTTTACTGAGTATTCAAAGGCATGCTTCATGGGATTCTGTTGTCGTTCTGTTCCTCTTCGATTTCCTCTAGAGATTTGCAAACATGCTTCTCCCTCGGTAGCATCCATTTACTGTTATTCACACTTTGGGTTTCATATGTTAGGATGAAATTTTCTTAGAGCAAATGAAACTGGTCTCGACCCAATCAAAGCATTGTGCCTTTCTAAGGAGGACGAAGTGATTTTGAGTCCAACTTTGCATAACCTCCATTTTACTTGGTTCTGCTTGCTTCCCCATAACTCTCAAGGGGGTTTACAGTGGTTTGGGGGATTCACTGAACTTGCTTACAACTTTGACATAGTTTTATATCGTATGTTTTAAGGTACAGAAGAGTCGACGCTGATGTCATACTTTTCCAAGTACCAGATTCAAGAGCGGCATCCCAGAGTGGCAATGAGCACACTGAGAAATCTGCAGTGCCCGGAGCTGCGGAGCAGCAAGCTCCACGGAGAGCCGGAGGGGTCCTGCAGTGCTCCGGAGCTCTTCGACTGGCTTGGCGCCGTCTTCTGCGATGTGAACCTGTGGGCATCCGGGTCTCTGCGTTGTTAGGGCTCTAGCTTGCTGCTTGTGTCTAGCTGAACTTTCAATCCTTCAGATGTGATTATGTAATGAATATAATTATCTTTTCTTCTTTCTCTTTCTGTAACAGAAATAATGAGCCTAATAACTTCATATCAACCTGTTGCTGTCCCCAGCCAAGCACAGTGGTGACAAAGGCTTGTTTGTGTACAGTCACTGGTTTCATACTCCCAGAGAAGATCTGTGTTCTCCTGGAACAGCTGCGGTGAGTGCCATTTCTGTCCTTTACACGTGGCTGGTCAGTGCCACAGTGCCGTGTTCCCCCGCAGGGCCTTACTTACATGCGCTTCCCATTTGTTTCCTTGCTTGAGCTCCAAGTGCAGTAATGTTGTCAGAAATGGCATAACTCTCCTTTCTGGTAGGAAAATGCTGTTGCCAAGTTCTTGTCCATATGAGAAGGGAAGGCAGAGCTTCATTACTGCTCCTTGGGCACAAACTGCTTGTCTTCCAGGTTCTACTCTCTTGGGCCCTTTGGGGTGCAGAATTGTAATATCTCTTAAAAACATAGCAACATTCGTGGGACAAATTGGGATCTCCTCTAGGTATTGTAAAATCTTTAATTCTGAACTGGAGTGGAAAAGAGTTGATCATCTCTGGATCTAAATCATATCTAAGATAAGTTCCAGTGCTGAAAGCCTATGATGAATAAATGTAAGAGCATAAGGACCACGGTTTGATCCCCAGCACCACATGCTGTGCCAGTCCCACCCCTAGGGCGGGCTGAGCCGGCCAGAGCCTGGGCGTAGTGGTGGACGCCTATAATCCCAAAAACCACTTATTCCACCGAGTTATCTCCCTGGCCCCAGCAACCAAATACATTAAAAAAAAAAAAAAAAAAAAAAAATTATGCCCAATTTGGTCTTTTCTATGGGGAACATGAATGTCCAAACACAGTGTACACATTTGGTTTATATAATACACTCCCAATACAAAACCTGTATTATTCTATATAATACTTGGCATTTTATTAATCACTCTGGCTGGCTCAGCCCACCCTAGGGGTGGGAGTGGCACAGCATGTGGTGCTGGGGATCAAACCGTGGTCCTTATGCTTGCCTGCCCTTGCTTAAGCAGACACTTTAGTCCACTGAGCTATCTTGCCGGCCCCATAATCCTGTTTAATAAGCATGCCATCTCAATCTTTCTTTGAAATGTCTGTGATTTAAGTCTGCAGGGTTTTCTTTTTTACACCTAACATCCTTTTCTTACATTTATTAATTTTGCACTTTGATTTTTTTCACTTTGATTCTCTAAATTAGAAAGGCCAGCTTTAGAAAATTCTGTGGAATCTGTTCTGCTTTGTTTCAATGACCAGAGGTTGAGGGTGGCACTGTTGGTGGGAGGAAAACTGTTCTGACCCACCCTGTGAAGTAGTTTTGGTTTTGGTTCTGTTAAGTACATAGTCTTCCACAATAAATATGGACACTACTGTTTATGTGATATTACTTAATCTTTATGGAATTTATGGTATGGTATCAGGAAGTTACATCTTCTCATTTTTATAAATTAAGTAAAAATTTCAGCTTCATTGCTACATGACAGATACTTTTTTTTTTAATATGGCCTTTGCTCACCTGTCTCTAACGAATGATTTTTTTCTTTCAGCCACTACTTTGATGAACCAAAGTTAGCCCCGTGGATCACGTTGTCAGTGCAAGGCTTTGCAGACAGCCCCGTTTCATGGAGAGAAAAGGAACACGGTTTCTGGAAAGGAGGAGAACACTTGTACAACTTTGTGATTTTTAATAACCTGGACTATTGGCTTCAGATGGCTGTTGGGGCAAGTGATGACTGTCCACCATAAAGAATATGAAATTTACAATCATGTTTGTTTATGCTTATTTTCAGATCTCTGAGTTATGAAAGGGTTGTGTGTTCACACAGGCTTCTGTAGTGATAGCACTTCTCAGAGCAGCTTTCCCCAGCATTATTCTCAAGGGCAGCCCTTCTGTCATGGCAGTGGCTGGTCGTCCTGTGACACCACACAATTGGGTTCTCTGTGTCAGTGTAAACACAGATGTGGCCTTCCACACTGCAGAGCAGGCTGAGTTGGCAGGGACCAGGGAGTGTTGGACCACTCGCTGGGTAAGGTATGTGCTGTTACTTATCACAACTTCTTCAGATAATAAAAAGAAATCCTCAGATCGTCCTTACCAGACTAGGCCCTGTTATAAATGCTCTAAGGAAACTGAAACACAGTATACCTACTAAGCTACCAAGACTGTATTGCTAGTTGATCTGAGGTTTGGTCCTGGGTCAGCCTGCTTCCTAAGCATGTGTTCTCTCATTGACTTTTATTTTTTTTATTTTTATTTTTTGGTGGTACCAGGGATCAAACTCAGGACCTTGTACTTGCCAGGCAGGCACTTACACCACTGAGCTATATCCCCAGCCCTTCTCATTGACTTTAGATGGGGGAAGGATATTATATACTCTTTAAAGGACAAGTGGAAAGAAAGTTGGCTGGTATGGGCATTTCTAGAAGAATGTGAAGAACCATTTTTAAAACTTACCAGTTGACTTGCAAAGTAAGAATTCTCAAAGGCAGTATTTTATTTTATTGTCTGTGGTTTTGTTTCAGTGCTGGGGAATCAAACCCACAGCCTTCCTTATGCGAGGCAAGCTCTCTATTGATGACCCATATTCCCAGTCCTCAAAAAAATTTTTCAATGGAAGCAGAAACCCAAAGTAATTAAAGCACCAGTGCCAATTTTCAGTCTTAATATTCTTGCCAAATGTGAAATTGTGCCTCCTCTCATCGCCTGGGTTGGAGAGGGTGCAGCAGAACAGCAGGCAAAAGCCAGGGTCCACCTAAGGCCACAACCCACTAGGAGACCTCATCAGATTGAGACCCCAAGGAGAGACACCTAGGAGTGAGCTGTGAATCCCCCTGCCTGCTTCCCTCCTACCCTCCCCTCATCCCTGAACATCAAGGAAGTTGCCAGTCCTGAGGTGAAGTGATAGTAGGAATTAAGGAAAAGTTTGCATTAATAAATTAATCTCGTTTGGACACCTAATAAACTTCCAAATACATCAAGCAAAAATTATTTGAAAGAAAAAAAGACATGATATTTTAATACCCCTTCAATAATTAATAATTAGAGAATACCAGTAATAGTAGATTTAAGCAGCACTTTCAACCAACTTGACCAAATTGATATTTGTGAAGTATTCTACAGCAGCAGGACACATTTTTTTCTTAAGAGCACAAGGACTATAGGGATAGATCTATTATGACACATCAGTAAGTCCCAGATTCAGAAGTATTCATCATGAAATATGTTATTTTGCCACAATAGAAGTAAATTAAAAATAAATAACAGATCCTTGACAATCTTCCAAAAATACAGAAAGGATCCATACATAAAATAAGTCTAAAACGAAATTAATAATACAAAAGTTGTACACCTCCACTAAATCAGAACTTAAAGGGAGATTCATGGCATTCAAATACTTATATTTTAAAAAAAAAGAAACCTGGGGGCTGAGGAGATAGCTCAGTAGAATAAGTGCTTTCCTAGCAAGCACAGAGTCCTCAGTTCAATCCCGGTACCGCAAAAAAAAAAAAAAAGGAAAGCTGGGCATGGTGATGTATGTCTGTCATCTTTTGGGAGTCTAGACAGGAGGATCATTGCAAGTTCGAGACTAGCCTGGGCTACAAAATGAACTCAAGGCCAGCCTGAACTGCCTAGTGAGACCCTGTCTCAAAAAGACAAAAGGAGAAATGTCAAATCAGCCACTTCAGTCTCCTGTAAGAAATTTTTTAAAAAGCCAAAGCAAATACAAAAAAAAGGATAATAGAAATTAAAGTGTGACTCTGATGAATTAAGAAGAAAAACTCTGGATTCAAAACTTCTTTATCAAAGTAGAACTCTGGAATTTTAAAAAGAAAAAAAAAATTGTGGATCCAAAAGCTTGATCTTCAGAAAAAAATGAATGGATGGATGAATAAAATCTTTAGCAAGATTTATCAGGAAAACAAAAAAAAAAAAGCTTACAGGTCAATATTGTCCATGAATGTGGGGTGAAATTTCTGAATAAAAGTTTAGCAATCCAAGTCCTATAATAGAAGAAATAATACATCATGATCAGATGGGATTTGTCCAAGGAGTATAGGCTTGATTTAATATTCAAAAAATAAATAGTGTAATTCATCATAAAAACAAACTAAATTATAATTCTGTGATTATCTTAACACAAGACATTTGACAAAAGCCCAACATCACTTCCTTTCAGCAAATTGGGAATGAAAGGGTGAAGGGCACCTGCAAAAGCCGTTCCGCTGACGCCGTCACTTGTGAAAGACCAAATACTTTGTCCTGACATCAAAAGCAAATCAGAGGGGATGGGTATGTAGCTCAGTGGTACGGCGCCCTCCTGGCAAGAGAGAGGTCAAAAAGCCAAACCAGAGACAGCTGGTCTCACCACTTCTGTTCACTGCTGTATTGGAGGTTGTAGACTCACCAACTGGGCAAGAAAGCAGGGGGCAAGTGTCTTAGTTACTGTTATGGTTTGTGTCTAATTGCAAGCATCTAGACGCTGCGATTAACTCACATCCGCTGGGGTTGTGGTGTGAGTGCTACACCCAGCCTGGGGCGGGTAAGCCTGGGACAGACAGACCTGCTCTCTTGCCATGGTTGCTGCTACTTCTCCAATTTGCTCTTGCTGTTTGCCACCGCCATGGACTGCTACCCCCTGCCATGTGCCACTCTGCCTGGGCGCCAGCTGAGTATGGCCTGAAACCTCCAGGAACTGAGCTAAATGAACCTTTCCTTCCTTCATTTTGGGTGTTGGGTATTTGTCCCAGCAACGAGAGAAGAGTAACTGAGACAGTTACTCTTTTCTCATTGCTGACACCCAAAATTAATGGAGGAAAGGTTTCTTTAAGTCACAGTTTATAGAGGTTGAAGCCCACAATCTGCTGGGTCCAAGGCTGGGTGGTTTGGGGGGGGGGGGGCATCAGCAGAGAAGAACAGTTCATGGTGGTGGAGACAGCAAAAGCAACAAGTGAGGTGAGGGTGGGTTTGGACAAGCTTCTTTCCCTCATGTAGTATGCAGGTGACCTGCCCCAGGGCTAATGTGGCACTCACACCCTTAATCCCGACATTGCGCTATGAATCAGTCACCCACTAGATTCAGCCACCTCTGAAAAAAACCCCTATAACCGCATAAGGGTGTGGGAGGGCATCTAGACACAAGCCATAGCAGTAGGATAAAGGGGAGTGTAAAAATGATCGAGATGCGATATGAATATGTGCCAGTTCCCCCAGATGGATGTAATTATTATGTATCACAAACATATACTAACCGAAAAGAAACAGGACATGTAATTGAAAGGATATCAACACTTGCAATAGCCTAAAAATAAACTACATTGTACTTAGGAAAATCTGGTCCAAAAATTGAGAAAGACCTATGCGGGGAAAGCTATAACATTACTGCAATAAAGAAGAGTTCAATAGGAAGACACACCATGGTCATGGTCAGGAAGCTCAGTACTGTTAGGGGAGGTGGGTGTGGCTCTCGGTACATCAGGGGTCTTGTGGTGAAACTGTGCTGTGACTGTGCTGTGTGGTCAACTGCAGGCAGAGCTACGTAATAACATTACACAGAACTCTGCAAATACAGCTTCAGATTACCCAGCCCAGCATGACTGGCCTGGTTTTGACAACGTGCTCCGCCTCACTAAGATGTCACACGGGACATCCTCTGTGTTGTTTTGCATCTTCCTCAAACACGAAAATGTTTGGGCCAGGGCTGTATCTCAGCAGCACAGCACCTGCCTGGCCAGTATGGTCCTGAGTTTGATTCCCAGTTCCAAAGAAAAAAATGTTAAGGGCCAGGGAGATGGCTCAGTGGAATAAGTGCTTCCCTGGCAAGCGGAAGGGCCTGAGTTCAATCTCCGGTTCTGCAAAAAAAAAAAAAAAA